CACTCAGATGGATGTCTTCACCTTTGGTCTGTTATTGCTGTGGTCTCCTTTTAATCCCTTCAGCATCCTGCTGAAATCAAGTTTATAAACAGAAGTTTGAGAATGGATCAACACCAACACTGTCAAATATCTAAGTCAATATTATTTGACTTAGTTTAAATTTAGTTTAAATCCTTTAGTCTACTTCAACTTTCTGAATCCATAAATTCCTCTATATCCCTACATTTTACAAAAGCAGTTTCACAATATGTTAGTTATGAGGTTTTCTCCAAACTGTCTATGTTTAAAGAAAAGCAAATGATAGCATCAGAAATTATAAGCAATTAGAGTTACTTTTCCAGGCCAAGCAGAGATGAAAGGCAATTTCTTCCTATTAAGAAATAATTGATATGTGCTCTCAGACTTAGTTATGAATGTCCAAGCATATCTTATGTAATGTAAATTTCCTTCTAATTTTTTCTCTCTTCTAAAAAATGACAAGGCAAAATATTTGACACACATCTATTTTAAGTGTCCCTTTTTTGCTATTTGTATGTTAACATTACTAAAGGATTAGGTCATATGAATTGAATTTGTACAATCTTATCTTTATATAACCATTTCATAAAGACTCATTAAAAAGAACTCATTTCTAAAAGATGAATATGGTTTTAGTCATATTCCCCAGTCTTAGAAATGGGCACAAATGTTAACGTGAATACAAGATAAACTAAATTCAAAAGATTGTAATTATTTCACCAAAGCTAAAGTTGACATGTACATAACATAAAAATAGGGTTTTAAATATGTAAAGAAGGAAAAGTTCAACATTCTTTTAATAATCATCTATATGTCAATAAAAGTAGCTTTATCTATTCATTTGAACTGACTATGGAAGATTTTTACCTGGAAGCACTGTTAAGACCTACTTAAAGTTGTATGAAAATAACTGAACCATCTTTTACTTATTTTTTTTCACTAAGTCAAATTGTAATTCTTCCCCACTTAACTTTTTAGTGAGGCTTCAGGATATGTAGATTTCTCTATTTCCTCCTTTTTTTTCTTTAAAATTAAATCACCATGCAGTCCATTACTAGAGTATTATTCCTAAGTAACAGATCATGCCTGAAAACCCCACCTTTTACAGAAATGTTTTTAACTAATATTATTAACAGCTTGAATCCACAAAATCTTCTCAGCTACTCTCCCAAATCTAAACACAACTCCTGTCAGTAAAACATGAAAAAATGAGTTTGTGGGGGAAAATCTCTGAGGTTACCATTGTGTTTATCTCCTTTGGTTGGCAGAATAAGGTAGCATGAAATGCTAACTCATGATTTAAATAAACCACTGGCAAGGAAGGCCCTGGCTGGCTGCAAGTCAGTTCTCCAAATCAGCTCTATTCATATATCCTTGCTAAGCAGTGTCTTTGCAGTTTTCAGAATAAGATGACACAAATGACAGATAGATTCAGAGATAATGAAATCAGCTAGTTTACGAAAGTGACAGGTAAACCTTTCTGAAGAGAAAACAATTATTTCATTGAGATTCTATCTTGAAACATTTACTAGTGCTAAAGTGATTTAATTTCACTTATTAACTTCAAGACTAAAGGTGTCTTTATTTTCACGGTATAGATACTGTTAGACTTGCAGAATAAAACTAGGATATTAAAAAGAAATTTTGGTGGAATTTACTTTCATGCAGCTCCTTCCTAGCAGTTCAATAAATTGCCATTAATCGATCATAAAGTGAAATTCATTTCAAAGAGAAGTTTTGATACTCCCTCTGCCCAATTAAGGAGTTAAAAGCCAACTCCACGCAATTGGGAACAGTTTATCTCACTGGGGGCTTGGGGCCCAAATTCAGGGACATCTCACTGTTTTTTTTTTTCAGTCTCTTCTTGAGGAAGAGGACTCCAGTGGGAAGGAAAGAGAATTTTCTCAACCTGTAGCCCATTCCCAAGGTTCTGAATCAAAATCTAACTTCTTCAGCCTTGTTAATGTGCTGGTAGTTTGAATGGCCGGGAGAGTAAAGGGGATCAAATTTAGCTGTGTTTTACTTTCTGCTTCAGGGTAGAAACAAGAGGCAATCTCAGGCGATTGAGAAGTACCACCCTCCTGTAAATGACAACTTTTCAGACATAGAGAAAAGACAAAACATTCTCCAATCTTTGGAACGTGTTTTAAAACTCTGGGATGTTTGTTTTTCTTCCTTCACTGTGGATTTAGGGGGAATAAAATGGTTTCCTTCCTAAATTCTAGATTGATGCTCACCGACCCAATTCCTTGTGTTCCTTCCAACTCCTGTGCAGTCCATACCCTCGCTTAGTTTCGGTGAGATTTTTAAAATTGTTTCAAATAAGAGGAGATTGAGCAATGTGAATATAAAGCAGCCTTAGGCAACTAGAATAACATTCTCTTCAATTTGTTCGTCTAAAATATGCAAAATCGTTCTTCCTGTAATCCTTTTCGAAAATAACTTTCTGCTGGACCTTGTTGGACTTGGAGAGGTGGTTGTGATTTTCTCTGGAAATTGGGAAAAAAAAAAAAAGGTGAAAGTCTTCCAGTACTATAGCCATAGTAAAATTTGAAAATGTCAAAGTGACCGGGTACAGGGAATAGGAGGTAGCTACTGGAAGGTGAGCGAGGACAAGAGCAGGGTTTCCATGCATTGGCTGGACATGCTAGTGGAGCTTGCCTCCGGCCGCTTTCCGCCCACCAACCCCCATTCCCCCCGCACAACACTGCCAAGCCCAGGCTGCTCGAAAAGGAGCGGGCTTCAGCGACGGATGCTCACGCCCAGAGATGCCCAAAGCGGAACCTCTATGTCCAAGGAGGTACTGCGGGACTTGCGCGAAAGTGGGGTAAGGGAACCCCCGGGGCCTCACCCACCCGCCGCGCGGCGTCCCTGGCGCGATGGTTGCGTTGGCACCTGTACTCCTGCGGGCCTGGGTGGAGCCGACCCAGCAGAAAGGGTGCGCAGCAGTGGCCAGCGAGACTGGGACCTGAAGTCCCCATCTCCCGCACACAGAAGAGAGCACCGTGGCTCTTCGGATAAGGGTTTCCCCTCTTGCCCCAAAGAAAATGCTCATAGGCGGTTGTACCTATCTTCAGAAACTCCTAGGGAGGGCGCATTGGGGTGGAGGTGGGATGGATGTTCTGCTTCACCCTTGCGCCTGGATAATCAGAAGCTAAAGAAGCCGGCGGAGTTAATCCAAGAGGCAGCTTGGCCCCTAAAAAGAGGTTTGCATGGAAATGTCTACACTACAAGAGTGTCTTTATTTTAACTTTTCATTGATTACATAACTTTACATAGATTATATTGTAGTTAATTAATGAAATTGTCGAATCTCTCAAGATGGCTCACCAGTTACAAGCAGTTGGAGACACAGAGTCATTTCCCATCTATAAATTGGGCAAAACCAAAACTGCAACCCTAAAACAATTTGGCTTAAAATGCTTACTTTTAAAACACAAATAGATCTTCAAGGGTTCATTTATTCACAGTCTTATAGCTTGACAATCTGTAAAGACTTTCTGTTGTATTTAAGGTGGGGAATAACTAAGGTTTGAAATCTATGCTGCCTTTTTCTTGAGTCTAGACTCTTAATGCTCCCAACCTGTTCCCTTGGTCCCCTGAGTCTGGCCCGCCACTATTCCCGTAATGCCCCTTCCGCCACCTGACCCAGCCATGGAGATAGCCTTGTCTCAATGCATTCCTAAACTTATAGAACTGAAGACTCCACTGTTACACCCCCCTTTCCAGAGGGCTTGGTGGGGGGTAGGCTTGAGGAGGATGGGGAGAGTCGCAGGAAGGAGGGCGAAGCCAGCAGAGCTCTCCGGGAGGGCCTGAGAGACAAAGGGGTGAAGGTTTTATAGTTGGAGTGCACGTATTTCCAGCTCTCCAAAATGAAACATACCATCGCAGCTGGTATTACCGGCTGAATAGGCAGCAAAAGACCTCTCTCTGTGCGGGTCCTAGCGTGCTGCTGCTTAGCGCCAACGAGTCCTTGTCCCCAAAGTTGCCAAAACTTTAAAGGACGCCGGCCAAGGAGTCCCCAGCATGGAAAGCCAGGCGTCCGGGGCCGGGTAAAGCCTCCTGGACTCCTCGAAAGCAGCTCACACCTGGAGCAGCCGGAGGCGGGGCGAGATCTATGCGAAGCTAACGGGTTCGGGTGAAGAACATCAAAGAGAAAGGAGCAGGATCGAACTTTAGAGGGACTGAAGGGCATGGCCCAAGAGAGCAGAATTGGACTGTGGGATAGGCGGCGGGAGGACCAGGTTAGAGGGAGCGAAAGGAAGTGGATTAGAGGGCAGCGGTTACAGGTTTCAGTCACTGCCATTTCCCCGCAGAGGGAGCTGCTCCATGCCCTGGAGAAGTACCCGGACTCCCACATCCTGTCTGCAACGACCCGGACTCCCTAGGGGATTCCAAGGGACAGCACCGTCCTCCCCACAAATCATCAGGAACCGAAAGCAGAGAACTTGCCCTACCTGGGCACTTCTGGAAGCGCCCACTCAACTCTACAGTGTGAGACAAAGGCTCTCCTAAGAGACCTTTCTCCAACTTTCTTTCTCTGCATGTATGAGCCCGGATCCCTCCGTCCCCGCCGCCTTCTCTCTCTCTCTTTCTCTCTGTCTCCTATTTTGTCCTGGGAGATTCCTACTCGAGGTGCGAAGCCTCGGATCCGCTGAGAACCGCATAGTCTCCTGCACCCTTGGCCTCATGCTTGTCGGAGGGGGGCCCCGGGAAACACACCGGCTGCCCCGCCAACAGGCGTCCCTGGTTCCCCATTGGCCCCCCGGT